GTGCTTACTATTCTTTGTGTTTCTAATATGATGTCCCAGGAGAGTTTTCTTTTTTTTTTTTTTTTTTTTTTTTTTTTTTTTTTTTTTTTTTTTTTAAAGACAGGTTCTCACTCTGTCTCCCAGGATGGAGTGGTGAAATCATGGCTTATTTTTTTGTTTTTTTTTTTTTTGAGACAGTGTTTTGCTCTTGTCACCCAGGATGGAGTGCAGTGGCACAATCTCAGCTCACTGCAACCTCTACCTCCCGGGTTCAAGTGATTCTCCTGCCACAGCCTCCCAAGTAGCTGGGATTACAGGTACCTGCCACCACACCCAGCTAATTTTTATATTTTTAGTAGAGATGGGGCTTCACCATGTTGGCCAGGCTGTTCTTGAACTCTTGACCTCAGGTGATCCACCCACCTCGGCCTCCAAAGTGCTGGGATGACAGGCATGAGACACCATGCCCAGCCCATTGCTTCTTTAACTGAATTGAACACTAAGGCCGTGTCCTAGCAAAGGAGACTTTCCTGTAGGAATCACATATCTTTCGGTCGACTAAGTTTCTGGGCAGATGCCCTCCATAACCAGTCCTCCATCCAGTGACCACAATAAAAATCTTCTCTTATTCTAGGCCAGGAAAGAAGACATGTGGGTTCTTCATACTGGCCCCTGCCAGTCTGCCCTTCCAAAGTAATGTGGAGCCTAAGATAAGTGACAGTGCAACAGCTGAGCAAGAAGGGGGAGGAATTACATTCACTCTGCAGGGCTCGGATCACACCAGCAAGATACAGGTCAGGCCTGGATCAACCTGAGCTCCAAGAGAAGATGGAATTTCAGAAAGAAATATCAGAGGGCCAGGCGCAGTGGCTTACGTCAGTAATTCTAGCACTTCAGGAGGCCGAGGCGGGTAGACTGGTTGGGACCTGGAATTCGAGACCAGCCTGGGCAACACAGCGAAACTACTGCCTCTACAAAAAATACACACACAAAAATTAGCCAGGTGTGCTATCACACACCTGTAGTCCCAGCTACTTGGGAGACTGAGGTGGGAGGATCACCTGAGCCTGGAAGGTCAAGACTGCAATGAGCTGTGATCATTCTACCATACCCAAGCCTAGATGACAGTGAGACCCTGTGAAAGAAAAGAAAAAAAGAAAAGAAAGAGAAGAAAAGAGAAGAGGAAGGAAAGGAAGGGGAAGGAGAGGAGGGGAGGAGAGGGGGAAAGGGAGGGGAGGAGAGGGGGAAAGGGAGGGGAGGGGAGGGGAGGGGAAGAGGATAGAGGAGGGGAGGAGAAGGAGGGGGGAAGGAAGGGAGGGAGGGAGGGAAGAAGGAAGGGAGGGAAAGAAAGATCACAGAGGCTGCTCCCAAATGGCCCTCTCCTAAATTCCTCCTAGAGGTCTGTTTTATTTGGGCAAGCCCTTAGTACACGGTCAGATACTCAGTAAGTGCTTACTATTCTTTGTGTTTCTAATATGATGTCCCAGGAGAGTTTTCTTTTTTTTTTTTTTTTTTTTT